CTTTGTGCTAGACCAAACAGGCTTTTCTTTCTTGGTCAGACTATATGAGATGGCCATATTACTAGCAGAGTGATACCAATGCAATAATTTATGATTCAGCGTGAATTGAAAATATGAGTGGAGAGAAGTTTCAATGTTTTAGGTTCCTCCAGATTACTAATCCACAACTCTACAATACTCAGCTGAGAACTAAGTCATCATTCTGTCACTCATGTCACAGTGACAGCTTCTACTGTGACTAAAATGTGATCCAGTTTTCTAATTTTATGTTGCATGACACTCCTAGAAGGTGTACAAACTGAAATGAAACAAAATATCTACAAAGCGACATCCACTGAAGTCTCTAAAAATCAAAACACTAAATTAACTGATGATAACAAGCAGTGGAATCCAGGGTGTGCACTTCGTCCTGTTTAAGTCTCATTATTTGTATGTGCCTGGATTCCCGGTGGTTGTCAATAGAGCTTCTCCTGAGACTCATTTTGAAAGCCAAAACATAATTTACTAGACCTGGTTGACCACGATGAATGTAGGGGTCAGGTCTCAATAAGAACACAATCACTCATTGGGAATGAAGGTACATCCAGATGACAAGCTCAGAATAGGACGATATGCATAGTCTTGATTCCACTACTATACAATGTTAACCCAAATAACATCACGAAAGTCCTTTAACATAATCAAAGCATGCGTACTAGAAGCTGACATATGCCAACACTGACTGGGCATTTCAGTCCAACATAATCAACCAACCAACCGGTGATGCTAATTAAACTAAAAACGAAACAAAGAAGCATACATGAAAAACCTGATCTACACGAACAGACAGTTTATTCAATATAGATATCGAACACCTATTTCTGATAATCTCATTTGAAACTTCCATCCCAAAGAATCCAAACAGAATTTTTAAAATTTAACTAAACAGTTATGTTAGTAAATTTCTGAAAGTTAGAGAATAATTTAGCCTCCAATTAAAGTCTTTTTTTGCACTCAATCACTAGGTATTCTATCCATCTGTCATAGAAAATAGACGAAAAAATGAACTACATTCTACCTTAAGATGATCCTATTCAAATTTTTATCAGGCTGCATAGGAATACACAGAACTAAAGCCACGTGTAAGTGACTGTAGGAAATTATCGGCCACTCGATAGCGTCTCCATTTATCACTGAGTGACTCATTTTTATGCCAGGCTGGATCAGTTTAAAAAACGCTGGAGAATTAAGGAGCACCGGACAGATCACTTTACCTTATTTTGTAGTCCTTTAGCACTTTACAGTGACAGTACTATGTTAGATCTATTAAATGGTTGTCTGTCAGTATTGGTGTAAGGCTCCAAATATAGAACGAAATGGTTGTCTTTTTTCTTGATTATTTCAATAGTAATCTACCTAAGGTTAGTTTATCAGCTGATGGAATATGAATTGTAGTCTGCCTACAGCCTCTTTGGAGCCTTTCAACTTGACCCGGAAACTACTGTCCTCGACTTTGTGTCCAGCAGGCTGCGACTTCACTTTCCGCAGACTGAGACGAAGTTCACCTGATTGTCAATGTGTCCATTGGATGAAACGCATAACGCTTTATGTACATCCTTGTGCTTGTACGTACTGTCTTTCTCATGTCACCAAAATCAGTGAGTTCTACTCCCTCGTTGAATTTATCGACAGCCTCCGGATCCATGGTGAGTTCGTTTTCTGTTTTGCTCACTCTTGACTTCAGATTCATATGTCCCATTAGAATTTTGATGTCATCATGTGAGATCTTGTCTATTATTGTTGACAGATGTCTGTAGAATTCGTTTCTCCTACCTTCAATCTGCGTTGTTTGTAGACTGCAGCATCGTAGCTTTCCCACATTTTGAGTTGAAGCTGGCTTTGATTATCATGGGTGAGACTAGTTTGCATTTCATTAGAGCTTTGGTCACTGTTGGTGACATCACAGTAGCTACTCTCTGAGTGTGCCCATGGTTGTTGTCTGGGTGATAGGAGTAGATTACCGACTCTTTACATAACAGTTTGGAGATTCCACCTCTATTTTATCTGCTCTCACTGACTCCTAGCACTCATACACGATATCTTATTTCGCATGCAGTCTAAACAGCCCTGTCGGCTTGAAATATCCTGTAGAAATTCTATGTTTCCACGCTTATTTCCGAGATAAGGTTGCTTGTCCAATCTTCTCTCTTTTTCTTTACCATCTATCAAACCAAGCGAGGCTTATCTGCCAAACGGCACGTATTTATCATGGCTAAATATCGTTTTGTCATAAAATATCTGAGAATAATCATCGGTTCTCAATCATTTCACCGAAAGCCCCTCGACCAACAGTGAGTTCTCATCCTGTGTTATCTCTTCCCAGTTTGGCTGGCATTCACAGAACCCATTAAAATCTTGGTATGAAAACACAGTCATCCATTTTTTTCTCCTTTTTTGGAACGCATATCTAATTAAAGTTAGCTTGTCAGTCCACTCACTTTAGGTGAAATAAAATCCTAGGTGACGAAGAAAATTCTTCAATCACGTGGTCTCTTCATTACTAACCTGAGATTATATCAACTAATGAATCCAGTCTTACCTTCAACTATCGCCTATCATTATCAACTAACCAATCTAAAATAGTCTCGGACAGTCTCACTGACATATATTATGATGAGTAATTCTGTCATCAATTATCCTTTGAAAAAAGCAGTTTGTCAGGATTTCTAATCCTTATCTACAGTCATCATTCTGTCATTACACTGATTGGTACCAAGTGACAAAAGTATCAGCGAAACTTTGTTCTAGCTTTATAACAATATTATTGTATTTCATACCATCTGAATGATTACTTGTCATAACTGCTTGAAAAATGATTCCCATGAGATTTTGGTTAGTATTTAATTACACCCTTATCCTCCTACCAGTAGATTACTATTATTATTATTATTATTTAATTACAGTATTAAATTATTTATTTAATTAAACCCCTTTCTTTATTTCCTAGAGAAACAATATTCTATATATTTCATAAATAATGTAAAAGGTAATTCAGAGAAGCAAAATTATATTTCCCAAAGAAATCAACACTTTAAAGGCTGTACAATCGTATCTATATTGACCAAAGAATGCCTAACTTTTAAGTTCATGTTGCATTTGCTGCAAAATATTGCATAGAGGCATCAAATCTGTCTCAGTAGTCCATTTTTTTAATAGAAGGAGGGGATGGTGGGGCGGGCGACTTAACTGACACAGTTTCTCGGAAGAGTTTCCAAAAAAAATCAAAAAAAATTACGTAATAGCCAACAACACACAAAAAAGTAAGGGTTTTAAAATTTGACAAGGTAAAAACCGTCATTCTATGAGAAACAAGGTAGTGAAATGTGCACTTGACAAGTGTGATGGTGAGAAAAACCTTGGTAAAGTGTACCTAAAAATACATGTAAGGATATTAATAGTTTTTCAGGTTAGTTTGTGTGGATTTGATTTGTCTCAGGTCTGACCATGGATTCATATCAATCAGAGAACAATCGAAAACCAGCCACAAGGAGTTTTGGACGACACTGTTTCGTCCTAGTTTGGGGCTCCTCATCAGTACGCATTCACCAGGATTGGAACCCATGATTTTCCAGTTGCAAGGCAAGTTCGTAGAAGGTTCAGCCACTGGCACCTGACCTTATTACTAAAAATAAAAGCAAACGATTTAAGAAGAGTTTAAGAGACTGAGTTCAAGGTTATACTGACGAAACGCTAGCGGTATCGCCATACATAAGTGCCGAAATTTAACACCTTTTATACCATTTAGTGTGCCTTTGTAGATAGTTTTGAAATACAAATAGTGTGGCCACGTGACCTGAGTTCATCAGGTGTTTGAGAACTGATCTGGTAACTGTATAGCATCAATTCTCTGATAACTATGCTGTTCAATGTTCACAGATGAGTTACATATAGTGTGAGATTTGTGTGGCCAATACAACTAGCTTCACAGGAGCACCTGTATTTATAAATATACACACGCACAAGTGGCCTAAAGCCTGCAATGTGTTTTTCACATATCCATGAATCATTTATCGACTGTAGAAACTCATTGGTAACTCAAACAAAGAGATGTTTTTCTCAGCGATTCTTCAGAATCCCAGCTGCCGTATTACTTTTATGTTCGACATTCATTAATAGCGAATTCTTCGGCACCGTGAAGATTCCTTCACACTTTTACTTTACTTCCATATTTTTACTGATGAATTTTGTGATACACATTTTCAATAAGGACTTGTCTAATCCTTTTCCGTTCATCATTGATTGTATCATTCGTGCATACCCTTAAAGATAGAGAGTGGATCACATTTCCTTTTCTTCTCAAAGAGATTCAATAATGAAAATTCGTGTCCTGATCATTCCACACTGGTTTTCCTCCAGATTCATTTCTGATTTGAACCATCAGAACCCGTTTTTAACAAAACATCCACATATATATAAACAAAATTCAGACTTCATCCCTGATTCCTACACACACTTGATATACTGCTGGCAGTTTTTGAACTCCTTCAGTATTATTTCTATGTCCATGTTCTTACATCTTTGATAATATATGGAAACTTTCAGTTTTCTTTATTCTTTTACGGTCCCAGTGGAACATAAGGCTTCAAACTAGAGGCTTTAAGTTTCAGTAGCAGTGATGTTTATTTTTACGGTATGAAGTTGCTGGCCTCATATCCAACTTTCCCTCTTCACCAGCCTTATTTCTGGCTTGATAAGGTAAAGTAGTAGGTTGGCCGGTGCTCGAACCCTGAACCACCTGCGTGGTCAATGGGCATTCTACCGATGTGTCACTGACGCATTTCAGTATTTAGTTGTAACATATATCAAAGATAACTTCGTGGTTTGGAGACATTTTTTTTCAATTTTCTTCTAGGCTCACTGAGTATCTTGTGGTATTTTGTCGACCCCTTAGTTCTTCTTTTCCTTAAAAATGGTGATATTTTCTCTCACTCTTTCTCTGTCTTTCTTTATCGATTTTCTAGTACTCAGTTACACTCATCATCGGCATTCTAAGCATCGAAAAGATAGTCAACAAACCAGTATGATGGATCGGCCTTTAAATGAAAATGATCTCATACAAAGTAATACAAGTGTAAAATTCAGTCATAAAATTAGCAAAACTAAAGCCGGTTCCATACATCAACAGTCGTTGAAGACAATTATCAGTGATACAGCAAAAGTAGCAATCTCTCCAATTATCTGTTCCAGTGGTGAAAATGATAATAATGATAATAATAATAAGGACCATTTCAATGAATTGGTGAAAAACAAAGCCTATTATAATTCAACCGATTCAATGCCCGAAAGATGTTTACAACATTCAGGGAAGCATAATGATAAACGATTTGTTAGTTTAAATCAATTAGAACAGTCAGATCATGATGATTATGAAGGTCAAACGATGTTGTCCAACGAGTCCTACTCTATCCGAGAACAACAGCAGACAAAGTCACGCGAGTCACAACAATTACAAAGTAAGAAGTCTTCCTTACAGTCAGAAGTCGTTTGTGATACTGATGATTTACCTGAAGATGAGGATTATGAAGATGACGATGATGCAGGAAGCACTCGACCAATAGGTATTCGTGCTAAAATTCGTCGTAATGCAGAAGAATTACGTCCGTTATACGGAACTGGTGGTCCCCTTGGATCTGTACAACCACAAATGAGTTATAAATCACAGAATCGTGGAATTGGTTGGCGATTACATTGGCGTAAAATATTCAATGAAAGACGAAGAAAACTTGCTGATTATTCATTATTTTTTGCTGTAATGGGTATTCTACTTATGGTGCTTGAATTGGAATTGATTATGGCTAAAGTTTATTTAAAAGTAAGTGAAAGATGATGTATATTATTACCCCAATATTAATAAGTGTTAACTAATTGTGTTAATGAATAGAGACCAATCAAATGGTTTCCAGTCCAAAATCATAAGGATTTGAAAGACAGATAGTCAATTATCGCTGTTGGTACACTACCCAAACTCGATTTTAAGACAAGACATAAAAATTTTCAAGAGTTGGTTTGTAAGGATTAGATTTGTCATTTTTACGAGTTCAACCACAGATTGATATCAGTTAGAGAAACATTGAAAACCACAGAGGAATACTGGACAGCTGTTTCATCATAGTTTCAGAATCATCAACAGTACGCACTCACCACCATGGTTAGAACCTTGGACCTTACAGCTGCAAGGCAAGATTGTATACCATTCAGTCCATGAATTCTAACTTCTATCGATTCGTGATATATTTGGTGTGACCACTGACCAATGTCATCGGTGGAACGTGTATTCTCACATCCTTACAAACCAACTCCTGAAAATTAATCTGATGCTCCCACCTAATGACTTCCTATAGTTCTAGTGAGAAGTCATAACCAGTGAGATCCATCCAGTCAAGTGTGAAAATAGATTTCCCACCTGTGACAGTGGTTGGTGGTCGGACTAAATACATCACGAATTGGTAGAAGTTAGAATTAATGGGTTGGCCATTGAATTGGCTCTCAGTGGCTGAATTGTGTGCGAGCCTGCCTTGTGACTGGAAGGTCCTAGGTTCGAACCCTAGTAGTGAGTGCGTACTGCCGATGACCGTCAAACTAAAATGAAACAGCTGTCTAGTATACTTCTGTGGTTTTCAATGGTAAATTGATTTGGTTAGCCAGTCCTTTGGAGTAGACTGCGTAGGTTTTTATAATTTTTTCATAATTTCTTTCGGTATGAACTATAGACACGTGGGTTAGTGGTTGAATTATTAAACTTCCAGTCAGTAGGTCTTGAGTTCGAACCCTACCTCAACTGCATAATATTGTCAGCCATACATAAAAAGTGTGGCTTACAGCCTTTGTGTACTAAAGATCTATTTGGGGAACTGAGTTCATAGAAATATATCCTGTTTGAAACTAGCTTCCTGAATATTCTTATAGATGCATCAAAGCATCGCCATCTAGTCAACTAGACTTAGACTTGAACAAGTTACATGGTTACTTTCATATTAATGATAATAAGGTTACATAATTGCTTACATTTCTTATCTGATAGTACTGACCATATGTAGCTGCCTATTAGAATTACTTGAACTTCTGAAGACATTCAATCAAAGGTATATAAATTTATAAATATTAACAAGAAATAACTGAATATTGTCAAGAATATTTCTACGTTGGCGGCGCGTACTATATAGATGATGAGTGACAGGAAGCAGTCAAAAAATTAAGTCGGCATTTTAAGTGAATTACTGGAGAGGTTGAAGTCTTTATTCTTTAAATCTTTCTTTAGTTTACGTTGTAGACACGAAACAATTTCATGGACAACTTGTCGTCCCATTGTTTAACTAATGAGTCAATCACCAATCAATCACAACAGTTTCCCGTCCACTGATCTAGTCAAATTTGAATGTGATTTAAAATGTATAAATATGATGCGTTCTCCTTAACAAGTATAGTCGGTTACTCAGTCTCTTATCTTCTCCAGTTACACCTTCTTCAAAGAAAGCTAATAAATACAATGCAAGACACTCTGCTGGACATCTCCGTGATTCATGACAATGAAACAGTTGATAATATATTTTGATTTCAAGTTTACACGGGTACTAACTCATTTCCTTATAGATCTTGTCATGAACTAACATCACTCAGAGAATCCTTGAGAAGACACTTGCTTTTTCCCAATTTTGAAGGACTTTAATAAGTGTTCAAACTAGGAACATTAGCTTACAAGCCATGAAAGTTAACCATTAAGTTACTATAGTGAAACTAAATGAATTATGGAATTTAACTCTCGTCGATTTCACGATACAGCATCACAATCGCCTTGTAACCGCAAGGTCCTAGGTTTGAACCTCAGTAGGTGAGTGCTGCCAAAGATTCTCAAACTCGGATGAAACCGCTGTCCAGTACTCCTAGAATTTCCAGTGATTCTCTAACTGATATCAACTTGTGATGGAAATTGTAAATGTAAGAGCCTCTTGCCATCAAACATGTGTTTCTTCTCCTGGACTCATCTTTTCACCAGTGAAGTAGTCCCCTAGGCATTCGCTGCGTTAATAATTTCAGCCTACTGTGTCTACAAAGATCTAGTCTTATGTTTTAGCAATAAATCATCGTCTCCTTGTTTAACTCTCTCAGTCAGTGACAGAATCAATCGTAAGATAAAAATCGTGTGAATAGTCCGGCTATGAATATTCATATTACTCTAGAGTTCTCTAATTAAAATCTTCTCTCTGTCATCCTTTGACTAAGTTCACGACGTCCAGTCTGAAATTTGGCGACTGTCTCAATAAATCGTTTATGGATTTTTTTATGTGCACCACCTGTGAAATATTTAGTTTAATCACCTGTTTTCATATGTCGTTGGTACATTCGTAGAATTAATGTCAGTAAAAAAGTTTGAGCATTGTGGAATAGATCCAATAAAGTATAACAATACTATTTCAGTGGTTTACACACAATGATAAGTATGGTACTGAATTTATCAAAGATAATATAAAAAAGAGAAAAAAGAAGGTCAAACCGGAGAATGACAAGACGAAAGAATGCAAACAAACAGTCACAATACCATATAAAAATGATGAATCAGAGGCAATTTTTGAAGAAACCTCAAAAATATTGGGATTCACGCGACATTCAAACCGACGAATCTAATTAAAAATAAAATAAACCAACTGGAAGATTCCATAAAAATGATGGATAAAAGCAATGTGATTTACAAAATATCTTGTGCCGAGTGTTCGACTAAATATGTGGGTAAAACGTTTAGATCACTCAAAATCAGAGTGAATGAACATAGACGCTTAACGCCTAACTAGGTCAACCAACCTGAAAACTCAAGCTCACAAGAATTTAGAGAACAATTCATCTTCAGCTGCACACATGCATGGGACAAAAACCACAATATCGATTGGAACAATGTTTGTAATCTTAAAACTAATATGAACAAATGGAAAGAGAGACTCATAACTGAACCGATATTCATAAAAGGTCACACCGGATACACGTAACAAGGGTGACTCAGTACAAATGTCAACAACCTGGCATATAATTTTGAATACACAAAAGTGAATGAACAAAAATATGAACCAATGATCTTCCTGATCGCAGTAGATTGGATATTGCGACAGACAACGGCAACCAACGAGGGAACAGGCATAAAATGGACTCACACAAAAGACTTGGAGCATCTGGACTTCGCCGATGATATATGTCTGATTTCCCACAAACTGGAAGATATGCAAGTGAAAAGCAACAGGTTGGCAGAAGAAGCATCAAAGATAGGACTTCAGGTGAACATAGATAAAACAGAGGTAGATGATGAAGATTCCTGGCCAACACCAAGAGCAGCAGCAACGACAACAGACAACAATCAGCCAGCATAAATGGGAGGAACCTGAAAGAAACAACCTCCTTTACCTACCCACCTACCTGGGAAGCATCGTTTCGACTACAGGTGGAACTGATGACGATATCAAAGCCAGAATCGGAAAACAAAGACAAGCTTCCATTACTCTCAAGTCTGTGCGGAGGTCAACAGCCCTACTCACCATCAAAAATAACATCCAGATTTTCAACTCCAATGTGACGTCAGTCAGTGTTACTATACGATTGGATCAGAGATCTGGCGCGTCATAAAGACCATCTCAAACAAACTACAGACCTTCATTAACAGTTGTCTTCGCTCAATACCACTCAAGATCAGATGGCCGGCCAGAAAAGATCAGCAACAGAGATCTCTGGCAATGACCGAACCAACTCACCAGGAACCGATTGTGAAACAAATAGGCAGGAAGAAATGGAGATGGATTGGCTGGCCATACTCTGAGAAAACCATCAAGTGACATCCCTAGACAAGCCATTACTCGAGTGGAACCCAAAAGGGAAGCGAGTGGCGAGTTGGTCGTCAGTGCAAGGGTGACTTGGAGGAGGTCATGTGAGGAGGAGATGAAAGCATGTGGACAGACTTGGAGCGGGGTGAAAATGTTGGCAGAAAACCGAAGGCAATAGAGAAGTGCAGCTGAAGCCTTATGTTCCTCTAGGAACTAAAGGATACAATAATAATAATATATTAGTACAAATCATAAATAAGTGAATTAAGAAAACACAAAAGTTCCAACAGTGGTGTGAATACGGGCAGTAATTTTGTTCAAAATATTACCATTGTGTGTAAACTATTGAAACATAATTATACTTTATTTTATTAGTAGGACACAGATTTTGACTCTCAGTCGATGTACTCCTAGATCTCACCGATTTTACTAAGTGATAGTAAGTCAAGAAAAGAGGAAAGATTAGCTATGAGGTTAGTAACTCCATCCTATAAAAACAACACCAAAACTAGTAAAACTTCATGGCCTTCGAACATTGAAACCATATATTCCACATGAAAGTCAAAAAATGGAAAAATAAGCTTGCACGCTTCAGGTTAACTATGGAATGCTTCACCTCACTTCTCATTATGCATGTATCACAGTTTGCAATTCGGAGAGTTAATTAGTCCGTTATATGAACTGTCACTTGTCAGAAACACATTCATCGCTCCTTAAGAAGTGCTTCTATCTCTTTAAGTGATTTAGAAAAACAATTTATTTAGGTTTTTTCATTAGTCTCTAAGTATACTCGCCTAGTGTCTGCCAGCCAACCCATCCCTGTAACTTAGTTTTGACAAAGGATTATTTGATACTAGCAAAAAAAGGAATCACATCATGAATATTTGATTATAAACAAGTGATATCAAATGATTCTCTTTATTCCTCTGTTTTTCTTTTTCTTTACACATCTCTTTAGACGTCTATTTATTCTATGCTAATGAAGTCATTAATTAGTGCGTCGACAATGATACTAGTCGGTCTCACTCTGGTTTATCATGCAGTCGATACTCAAGTAAGTGAATATCTGTATCCTTATCTAGTGACTGTCTGTGTTAATGTGTGTGTGTATTGCTCAGGACAATTATATCTATGAAATAAGCCGTATGATGTTACATGGTTAACGACAATCTACAGTGGGCTCTGGAGCCGGCTTTCATGATTTTTGTCATTCATCAGCAAAGCGTATTTTTCACCCTGAAAGAAACTCATATCCCTACTGCAATTTGAACCCACGTCATCCAGTGCTTCAGTGGAAGACTCTACCATTAAGTTAATCAAACTCGAAATTGTCCTTCTATGGATATATCAGTTTGTCACCAGGTCACTAATGTCATGCCTCTATTCCTTGATGTTGGTGCAGGCTGAATTTTACTGGTCATGTCTGCTATGCGGTCACTAAGTTAGATAGCTTATCACTGTAATGCACTTTGAAATGATGTTAGATAGTTGGAGGTAATCGGTAGAAAGTCCTATTTGATCTAAGTTTCGTGTTTTTTGGCACTCGTTAGCAAGCAAGGGCGTTGTAATCTCATAGGGGATATGAATTTCGTCGAAGTTGCACATAAACTTTGCTAAAAAAAAATACCTACAAACATGAGATAAAGTTTGTGAAGGGTTTCATGCCTACCGCTTCTAACCAGTTAACATCAGTTCAGAGTGGACCTCAGTAGTGAAACTGCTAGCTAGGTGATCATTGCACAAACTTGACTGGTAAAACCAACGAATAGATGCATAACATTGGGCACTCCCTAGTGACCAATGGACGTAATTAGCCACTTTCTAATAGGAATGGATTCTTTCTTCGCCACTTTAAGGTGAAAAGATACGTTAGGGTTAAATGCCAACATAGTGACATGATAAGGAGTTTAGGAGTGTTATTTAATTGAATTTCGGATTTTCGTGTCGATCGAATGCACCGAAATGCTCGGTCTCAGGGTTGATATATCTGGGTATGTAATTAGAATCCAGATAAAGAGTCCCAAATAGGACGAAGCACGCATCCTGGATTCTACTGCTAGTCCCCATCCACCAATTAAAGTTTAGGAGTGTATCCAAAACAAATACCTAAACCCTTCTCCATCATTTGCATTGGAATATGAGAGTGACTTCAGTCTTTACACTATATCTTGTCATGTCTCGTGTCTCTTAGTAGTGTCTTCCTTTAAATACCCTCCTTAAAGCTGTAGTAATTCATCCGCTAATTTTACCTTAATATAACAGTGGTTAACAGTTAACAGTGGTCACATTTTGATCGTGATTTCATATCTTTCCAACCTGTCCCATTGGCGGAAACTCGAAGTGTGTTATTAAAGCCACTTAGATGACATTTGCAAAACTTGTTAAAAACATCACAGTATTTTTCGTTTACTAATTTCCACTTGAAATTTAACTGAAGATATCCCTGTAAGCATTTTTATCGATTCACTTAGTTTTTTTAACCTTTTTAGTACCATTAGATATGAAAAAGTAATTTAAAACATTAAAAGATCTACCAGTACAGATAATCATATCAGTGATATTTGAGTTAATTTATCATGACATTTGAACTCATTTAGTTAACTCTACATTGTATTATTCTCATTTGTGTTTATCATTTAGAAATGAAACACTTCAAAATCGATTGTCTTCTAACTTTCAATACCTTACTACACGAAGCGTTTAGATCGATCAATGGTTATTTTACTATTATTCAAGCATCCATCTTAGTAACATAGTTAAATGTGTAACTTACTCTGAAATGTTCTGTTAACTGTAGTTCTCCTTCATTGACATAACGCTAATCTGTTTTTTAACCTAGTACAACTTGTTAAAGAAGTCACGCCCCCGCAAACTCCAGTTTTCTTCACTCTACACATCTATGCAGTTATTCCCCCTTCAAACTAACACTTGATAACTAATTCAGATGCTCATTAATGACTGGTTCTATACGGTGAGTTGCCTGAAGTTTCAATGAGAAGTCGTAATCAGTGGGTTCCATCAGGTCACGTAATAGACCTATGTGTAAAACTTGGGCACTGTGGTAGTGAGCAATTCCATATTACTGGGTTTCATCATGGGTTGGCATTAGTTAGAGAACCATTGGAAAACCAACAGGGTGTACTGTACATCTGTTTCGTCAGCCTAGTCTGGGACTCTTCAGTAGCACACACCCACCGGGGTTCGAATCCAGGACCGTCCGGTTACAAGGCGAGCTCGTATACCACTGAGCCACTTGGACCGGATCCAATTGCCCATGAGTTCTAACTTCTGCCAATTCATGACATAGCGCGACCCCTAGCCAATGTCTTCATGGGCCATAGGATCGGGTCCCACTGGCTTAATGGTCTATGAGCTCGCCTTGTAACCGGAAGGTCTTGGGTTCGAACCCCGTTGGGTGCGAACTGCTGAAGAGTTCCAAACTAGGACGAAACAGCTGTCCAGTACTCCCTGCAGGTTTTGCAATGGTTCTGTAACTAATGTCAGCTCATGATGAAATCCTGTAACCAATCGAATCCCTACAAACCAACACTTGAATATTGATTCTATAATAGTTTGTTTATTGGATGTATCACACACAGTGAAACAGTATTGTTATTTACTGGATGACGTTCCGAACAAAATTTATTGTTCATAGTTTTCTTTGTCCTCACCTATTTGTTGTCGTCGTCGTAGGGGTATTAGAATTTTCCAGATATCTGGGACAGGTGTTGAATCATTCCTACTACAAGTATTTGCAGTTGATTCGATAAGCAAAGCTTCTGTTATCAACCTCTCCCTGCACCCTGTTACATCAGATTTTAAAACTGTCATCTTATCCCATCATTCAATTGTATGGTTGTGTGTAACTGCATGTAGTGAGTGGTATAGCTGAACTATTCTCTAGATTTCTTATCTTATTCGAGTCAGGTAATCTAGATTTTGCTAGGTTTTTATACTCGGCTAGTCTGACTGCCCCTGTTCTACTACTTTGGCCTATGTATTTGACCTGACAATCATTGCAGACAGGGTATTAGATAAACTAAATCGTTTTGTTTTAAAGGCTCCACTGTCTGGATCCTTTAACCGAAAAAGCTTTTCTGAGTTGAGTTTTTAGGCACTTTTATTCTTGCCTTGTTAAGAATTCTGCGTAAGTTTTCCGAGGCTTTTTCCTTGTATGGGATTACTACTAACGATTTAGATTCTTTATTGTTGGTGTTGTCTTGCCTATGTCTGACATGCATGCCGTCGTTATTATTATTATTATTACTATAACTATCAGTACTATAATTAATTAATAGGTTTCAAAACTTCTCATATATGCCTGAATTTAAATGATATAGTTATGAACAGTGATGAATTTTGTTTGAAACGTCATCCAGTAAATGTTAATGTTTCACTGTGTGATATATCTAATAAACAAACCGATATGGAATTACACGTAATAGATCAGTTATTAGCCTATGAAATCGGCTGTCAACTGTGTTGTATATAAGTCAGTGACGTAAACAGCTTGGAAAATTTTCTCCTCTAGGATTTATTTACGTAAGCTGTGCACAGTCGTTATTATATTTAACAAACAATTCATAAGACAAATAATTAGACACTGATAAAATGTGTCTACGAAAATTTATTACATAGTGTGATGTGTAGTCTAGATGGGGTGACTAATTGGAAATTACAAAAAAGGGTGTGAGGAGTTAGAATGGCGTAATAAGTGTGAGAAAATGGTTAAGCAATATGACTTTGTCGAGTGGACAGGAATTAGTAGAACGATGATAAAGTGTTTTTACAAAATCTTAATGAAAACGCAATGTTATTAATAAGCGATAGTAGGGTGATGATAAAATAAGGATGATGAGAATAATAATAATAATAACAGTAAACCTACATAATACAATGAAGCAAAATTATAGTGAGAACATTACTATGGCCACGGTTGGGCGAGTGAATGTATGCGGTGCTTTTGAATGCAAAGGTTCGATTTCAGATCTCGAGTAACCAATGATTCAGCTATGTAAAGATGGCATGTTCGAAGTCCTTTTGTGCGACATTGAGCGACTCTATGTGGCACTGTAAAGCATTTATGCAGGAGTGCACAATGTTTAGAGTTGACAGGGTGTTCAAGGATGCAGCTGCTAGTATTCTTCTTTTCTCCTTTAACTGACCAAGCTGTACAGTAATCCAGAATACGTTAGTGAACTTGACGTTGCGAACAGCTGATATGCTATGCTCCACACAAACAAGTAAATTGATAAATGCACACCGAGGTGACCAAAAGCGGTTTCTTGTCCTTAACGATTACCCGGATAAATTGTCTGCTGGAAAACGTGATGTGTGAGCAGGCTACTTGGAATGTCTTCGTCAGAAATTTAGAAATTTAAAGCATCATTTATTCTGTTTAAAACAATATTTCTTCAAATATTAGCGTTATATGACTACTGAACCTGACGAAGAGGAAGTTATTGAAAAAAAATATTCTTTGTTCATGAATCAGCCATTTGAAAGGAAATTCATGTGTTTTTTCTATCTTTTTACAATTGAATGATAAGTAAAAGTCATTGTCAAGTATTGGTTTTGTAGGGAATTGATTGATTAGTTACAGGATTTCATCATGAGCTGAAATTACTTAGAGAACCACTGGAAAACCTGGGAGCACTAGACAACTGTTTCGTCCTAGTTTGGGACTCCTCATCAGTACGCACCACCGGGGTTCGACCTTCTAGTTACAAGGACAGCTTGTAGACCATTAAGCCATTAGGACCAAATCCAATGGCCAGCCCATGAATTCCAACTTCTGCCAAGTCACGACACATAGTGCGACCACTCCACAATGTCTTCTTCGATGAGTTACTGCCTCATCTTCAACCTGCTGTACCCTACTGCTCACAGCTTCCCACTAGAACCCCAGGTCACTGCTTCAATAGGGCCAGTCACTAGTGGCCAGGTTATTTTATACAGGAAGACAAGTCCTCAATAGTGAGTCATTTTATTCCTTTGGCACTTCCTTCTCCAATCTCATCACTTTTGAAGCCTAATTTTAAGAAAACTGGTTTCTTCTATGCAGTACTCTACTCTTTCACCCCACTTCTGCCACTTTTACAGTACTTCGTGCCTTCTCTGTCATTTTTTGTGCATTTAACTAGTAATTCAACATGAGATATTGATATTTTTACTCTGTTTGAATTTCATTTTAAAAAATTTTTTCCTTCCAGCTCTTCTGTATAAATAATTGTATTGAAGATTGGAGGATAGCAATGAATTGTAGAAAAGTCTCTTTAACACTTATTGAAGTATTCATTTGTCTTGTACATCCACCACCAATTCTATCCAATTACAATATTTATGCTTACACCAGTCCATATCATCCTTCATCAACTATATGGAGTTTTCGCCAAGCTGATGATATCCTCGTCGATAATCCTTATCCATCGATTTCGTATCATCATAGTAGACCAATGACAACACATATGTATAATACATTATCACCCTCATCCCCATCATCATCATCATCGTCATGGGATAATTCCACTTATCAAATCAATAATTTACCTTTTCCTACTGTATCTAATCCATTACAATATCATGATGACGGCCTTATTCAAAGGGATAAACCTGTTCCAATGGTTATCTTAGAGATGACGCTATCAGTTCCAATGTTTTTACGCTTATATTTAATATTTCGTGTACTACTATTACATTCAACAATGTTTACTGATGCTGGTTCACGTAGTATTGGTGCATTGAATCGTGTTAAAATTAATGTGAGATTTGTATTAAAAACACTGGCTACAGTATGTCCCGGTACTATGCTATTAATATTTATTTTATCTATGTGGATTGTAACCAGTTGGATTATGCGAGTTTGTGAAAGGTGAGTTAGAAAGAGAAAGAAAAAAAGGAAGAAGAAAGAGGAAACAACTAATTATTTCATTTTTTTTATTAAAACAATTTTTCCTTTAGCCAACTTTTAGAACAAAGCAAGGACAATGAATAGTGGGCATGAGAACAGGAAATCATTACAGTTTGTTAGTTATAATGCTAATAATATACGATTGGTGGATGGTGACTAGCAGTGGAATCCAGGATGTGCATTTCGTCCTATTTCGGACTCCTAGTCAGCTGGATGTACCTGCATCTCTCAGTGAGTGATGATGTTCCCACTATGGGCACTGGGTTCGAGCCTCAGTGGGAAATTCATCACTCACTGAGAAATGCAGGTACATCCAGATGACGAGTCCCAAATAGGACGAAATGCGCATCCTGGATTCCACTGCTAGACACCATCCACCAATTGTATACTAATTAAATACCCAGACATCGTCGAAGCATCTGCACAAGAAGCCGACATGTCAACCTGAGACCGAGCACTTCGGTCCAATCAATCGACGGGAAAATCAAAAATTCATTTCAATATGATGTTAATTTGCACGACTTCTACAAATTTTAATGAGATGATTGAATCCAACTACTTATATCAGTTACTTAGTAGTATAAGTATCACGCAATTATGCTTCCGTTCTCAACTACTGTGTATAGTATCTGGTAGATCATGCATATATTGCGTTCTCACTTATTTTGGTTTCCCAAGGAAGCCAGGCTGAAATTTCTTATTGTTTCTACTGATTTCCCTGTCTAAGTTGAATTATTTAAGCTAAACAGTTGATGAGACCCATGCTAATTGAAACATATGATCATTTTGTGTTCAGATCTATTTGTTTTGGCTAGCTAGCACTAATAATTTGAGCAACACAAGGAATATTTTCTAAGGTGTATCATTACAATTATAAAACCTTTTTAGACAACAAATTGCGTAATATAAAAACCCTAACCTGGTAGAGACCAAAATAAAATTGAATAACTGAATTGAATGACGCAGTGTAATTGAAGGTATCGAGTGGAATTCAGCTCTAATTGAATGAGAGTCAAGTTGACAACAGTGGTTATTAGAAATAGAAATTTGACAGGGAGTGAGAGAATAAAATAACCCCATTACTTAAAAAAAAGATAAAAAAATCAAAAATCACATATCCTCTGTTAAGACAGATTGGGGTTCATTGTAGATTTCAGTGACTGAACAATCTTCTCCAGTGTGCAGATTTAGGGATTTAACATGTGAACTGCTATTGTTTCTGGCGTTTGAAGAAGCCTGATTCGTACGCGTTTACAAAGACCACTACGTATCCTCTAAATGACTTTAAAATTGCATCTAACCCAAAAACCATATTCGGAAGTAGTCCACCATTTTGCTGTGAGAATTTAATTTGTAAATTATACATGCTATTGTAAAGCTTGAGAATGATATATCTATCAAGAGTAAATCTTCTCTGAACGTCTTTTCTATGAAATTAACATATATTATTTTTTTTAACTGTTGAGCAACCACCTCCTTGGTGATGTGAGAATCACAATACCAATTTTATTTTACTTGTGTACACCTAATTTATGTCTAACACACGTTCACGTCTCTAGCATCAAAGATAGGACTTCAGGTGAACATAGATAAAACAGAGGTGATGAAGATTCCTGGCCAACACCAAGAGCAGCAGCAACAACAACAGATAACAATCAGCCAGCATAAATGGGAGGAACCTGAAAGAAACAACCTCCTTTACCTACCCACCTACCTGGGAAGCATCGTTTCGACTACAGGTGGAACTGATGACGATATCAAAGCCAGAATCGGAAAACAAAGACAAGCTTCCATTACTCTCAAGTCTGTGTGGAGGTCAACAGCCCTACTCACCATCAAAAATAAAATCCGGATTTTCAACTCCAATGTGACGTCAGTCAGTGTTACTACACGATTGGATCAGAGATCTGGCGCGTCATAAAGACCATCTCAAACAAACTACAGACCTTCATTAACAGTTGTCTTCGCTCAATACCACTCAAAATCAGATGGCCGGCCAGAAAAGATCAGCAACAGGGATCTCTGGCAATGACCGAACCAACTCACCAGGAACCGATTGTGAAACAAATAGGCAGGAAGAAATGGAGATGGATTGGCTGGCCATACTCTGAGAAAACCATCAAGTGACATCACTAGACAAGCCATTACTCGAGTGGAACCCGAAAGGGAAGCGAGTGGCGAGTTGGTGGTCAGTGCAAGGGTGACTTGGAGTAGGTCATGTGAGGAGGAGATGAAAGCATGTGGACAGACTTGGAGCGGGGTGAAAAAGTTGGCAGAAAACCGAAGGCAATAGAGACGTGCAGCTGAAGCCTTATGTTCCTCTAGGAATTTAAGGATATAATAAATAATAATAATACGTCTCTAAAATATGTCTGTGAATTTCTACATTTGCCAAAAAGCTTTAGGACAACCGATTTTCTTTTATTTCAAATCCTGTGTATCCGATTAATGCGGCAGTGGCACAGCGGTAGAATTCTTGCCCACCACACTCCATGTGGTCTAGGCTCAACACACTCCTTTACCTCACTAATAAGACTGGTAAAGGGGGAAGTTTGGGTATGAGGCTAGCAACCCTATCCTGTAAAAATAGACATAACTGCTACCGAAACTTGGAGCCTCTAGCTGGAAATCCTATGTTCCTGAGTAATAATAATGGGTAGTACCTTCTAACCATTTGATTACAGTATGTAAAAAATCTGCCGACTTATATTGTAGCTTTGTTTTAGGTCTGTATACAGCTGATATGAGCCAACGAAATATGTTCTATCGCCCAGTTTATTTCAGTTATTGCTGTTAACTACTTGTTAGTAGCTTATATGATACTTGAATAATATTAACTACCTTTATAGAACAGCTTATAATTTACACATAAAGATCAGTTTGATCAATGGAAAATATACTTCGCCTTCCATATCTTGCCTTCTTTTGTTACAACTGGAGTTCAACAAAGTTGAGTTTATGTATCACGACAGATATACCGCCTTATTCACCAATCCCTGAAGAATATGATTATGTCGACAGAGAAATAAGCCTATCTCTTCCGAACTAAAGTCTCGCAAGAACAAACTCATTTTTTCATTTAAGCAGAATTATAACAAAAGAATATATTCAACGTTGGTCATATGAGGTCCCTCATTTCTCTTTACCATACTTTTTCACAGATGGCTTTGTTTGAAAACTTAGACGCTTTGAGATTGAATAGTAAATCAGTGATTGTAGGAGGAGTGGGGTAGATTTCGAAGGATGTTTACCGACATCCATACTAGTAGCAATCACCTATGAAGTTAATCACATCAGGTTTAATGGATATAGCTGGCGTTATTAGTATGAACGACAAATATACCACTGGAAGTGACATCAAAATTTATCATGAATAACATTAACTCTGTAAATTCAGTTCAATACTGAAAGGCATTAAGTAGTTTGTCTGAAGACCAAATACCCAATACCGAATAATTCTTTCCCCAAAGAGGCCACACAAAAGAAACACAAACTGAAGAGGGTACGAGCCAGTGCAGAAAATCACCTCCTTAAATGTTATCTTTAATTCTGCTTCATCGCAAGAAAAAGAATAGTAACTGGCCGGTGATCAACAGATGCTGCTTGTTGAATAATTATCTGAGTTTTGACAAGTTTACAGGTTGATGACCCCGTTTATATCACTGCCATTTCAAACACTTGACTGACAGACTGACTGGAATGATAATTGAATTACTTAAAATAATTCCAGAGTATTTCAAAATTAAAAACAAGATTTATCCCATGAATATTTCCCAATGTATACTCCACAGCTTCTTCAGTATGCAAATACTCAGATGTTTGTTATTTGACACTTAGAGTAAATGATGATTAGTAGACATTTTGGTGCCTTTAAACAGAAATGATAATTACTCACAATGCATAAACACATTCTCAGCGATGAAAACACACTTATACAGCAAGTGACATGCACAAACATTTTCGTGACGAATAATAGTAATAGTATCAATAGGAATACATAATTGCTAATCGATATTCAGCAAGAAGACAGGCATAATCTGAAGCGATAAGAAGAAAATGTGAACATTACAGGTGATTTATATCTGATGTCATACAAACTAAAAGATCTAAAGGTTAAAATCAATAATTTATCATAAGAGGCAACGAAGAGAGTACTTCAAGTGAACAAATGGAAGACAAAGGTGGTGATGAAGGTAACAGACCAACTAACTCCAACAACAACAACAACAACAAACATCAATTACCCCAATCATCAGGAGGAATTTGAAAGAAGTAACCGGTTCCACTTATTGAGACAGCATCATTACAAATAGAGGCAGCAGGCATGATCAGAAAAGCAGAACAAACCTTCATTACTTTAGAAAGCAAAATGTTGAGAAACCTTTATTTTTGATTTCTACAAGGTCTAACTATAATAGATAATTTATTAATGAAATATGAAGCAGACGTAATTTATCTATTTGTAATGTATTTCTTTATAAACATTATTGAGAAATGTTTCAGTATATGTGTGGGACCACAGGGTTGGAAATGTGTTGTGCTACCAATGCGACTTAACATGCATCATATAAATTCCGCCTTCTCAGTGTTTTGTTTTCTATGAAATTCATAAAAGACAATAACTAGATTAAAATGTGTGATAATTCAATTGGCTTCAGTTAGCACCATGACATTCGTAACTCCTATGTTATGAATATTAATAATTATAGTGGCTAAATAGTTAATTGTTGCAGTTATTTTCTATTTCCAGCGGGTTAATTTTTATTCGACCTACGGCCTCAGAAACACCAAGTTTGTCTTGTAATCATCACATTTATACAAAGCCGTTGTTTATCACAATTGAGGCATGCATAAAAAGACATAATCCACGCCTAAGAAACTGATTTAACCTTCTTAGCAATCCGGAACATTATTATTATTATATTATAATTATAATTATAATTGTTCCCTTTAGCTCCTAGAGGAACATATGGCTTCAGCCACACACACGTCTCCATTGCGTTCGGTTCTCTGACAGTGTTTTCCCCTGGCTCCACGTCTGCTCACATGCCTTCATCTCCTCTTCGTTTGACCTCCTCCATGTCACCCTCGCACTGACGATCAACTCACCACTTCCCGTTCAGGCTCCACTTGAGAGAGATCCTGGCGTGTGATGCCTCTTGATGGTTAGACAGTCACAGAATGCCAAACAGTTAGTTATAAGTATTATCAGTCAACAAGATTATATCCACAGAGCCAGTATCCGAAGGTAAACCTAATTACAGTATATTCCACAGCTTCCTGGCCAGGAACATCAGAGAAATGAGATGTTTTTGTAACTAAGCAAACGTAGTGTACTGATCAAAAAGCAATCTGGCACATAGTGAAATTAATTTTGAATTACTTTAAGCTACGTGTTTGTTAAGTTCTTTTAAACATAGGCATTTATCTAGACAAAGCAATAGTATAACGAGGGAAAACAAGAGACTTGGTAATAATGGACTCTTTTATTAAAGGAAAAATACACCTTATTTATTGCCTCTTTAGCCACATTAAAGTTTAGCTAAGTCAGAGGAGAATAAATTGTTCTGATTGGCTGGCGATTAACCCAAGGTTGAACAAGTTGTCCAATGAAACTATTTCATGGCCACAATGTAAACTAAATTCAGATATTAGGAATAAACGCTTCTATCTTTCAACAGTAGCCATTAACTAAGAAAAAGGTTGATTTCAATTTTTGGCGAGTTCCTACGAGTCTGCAACACCCCAAAATAGTTCTGTGTAGTTTGTTAGTGATTCACTACAAGACCTCATTTGAAATTTTTGACGAAATGCACTTATTTTTGTATTATATGAGTGGAGGTAATCGGTAGAAAGCCTTGGACCTAAGTTTCATGCTAGTTGGCACTGATCAGCAAGGCGTATCTGCAACCCTGAAGAAATTCATGTCCCTTCTGAGATTCGAACCCACATGCAGTCAAAGACGTTACCACTGAGCTATTCAGCCTCGCGATTGGATATTTTTGATTGGACACTAGTCAGTAACTAGTGTAATATGACCCGCAGCACTGGGTGACGCGGGTTCGAATCTCAGAAGGGACACGAGTTCCTTCAAGATTGCAGATACGCCTTGCTAACTGGTGAGTGCTAACTAGCACGGAATCTAGGTCCAAGGCTTTCTGCCTATCGTCTCCAATCATATAATACCAACAATTCATAGTGCACCGTGATGGCGAACCGCCTAGCATGGTGTAGCCACATCGCAAGCTTAACTGATAGAATTCAGTCTGCACCGAAGATAGGACTAGACATACACAATACACTAGTTACCGACTAGTGTCGAATCAGAAATGCACTTATTGCTATTGTATTTTCCTTCTCTATTAAAAAAGAAACATTTATTAGCTGAGATTACATATTGATCAATTATCTTTTTATCCATCCTTGAACATTGAACGTCACACTGTTGCCACTTATTTAAACTAAATTATCGATTTTTCTGCTTATTTGAATTCACTACCTATAAACTTTTGTTTAATTGATATTTATTTCATCTTTTTCATATCATACAGCAATTTATTGCTTCTATTTATTATTGTTAAACTCTCTTTGTATTTCTAGAGAACAAAATAAAGAATATGAAAAACTGTTAAATTCAATGTGGTTAATCGCTGTTACATTTTTAAGTATCGGTTATGGTGATATGGTGCCGAATACAAATTGTGGTCGAGCAATATCTGTATTGGCTGGTGTCATGGTAAGTCTATAAAGTCTGTTTAATTAAACTTGTATTCATACTTGGAGTAGTTATGTGGTGAGAGGTGTCTGCTAGCCAAAAACTGGTAGACAGCAATTTACGTCAATGTTTATGTCTCATATCTTGGTCATGGGAAAAAACAAGAACGAAGACTAACCTGGAGCAACCCTACAACCAATCACAGTAGGCTAAGCGTGGGTGGATACGATTAGCAGAGACATCAACGGCTATCAAGAGATAACAGAATAACCTCCAGCGGGAAAACAACCAATCAGAAGACGTTGCTTCTCTGCTAACAATAACGCTAATAATAATTTACACAAAAATCGTTAACTATCTGTTGATTTTCTCAATAAACGACCTGTTGCCTGGCCCTTGTCTTCCGTCGTTACAGTTATAATAATGACGTCCAGAGTAATAACAGTATTTATAAAACTAGTAAGGCGTTATATTTGCTCAGATATTGAAAATTGTCATGTGTCGATTAATTTCAGAAAAGATTTTATCATCTATCAACAACAGTTTGTAATGCATCCAAATTGTTTCATAACCTGAATGTTATAAATTCGATTTCAGATGAGTCCATTGACGCAAATTTCTAGAGCGCCGCAAACCAGAACGAAAGGCGTATCCAGTAGTCTCTAGTTTTGGATTACTGGCGACGAAATCTACCTAGAATGAAGTGATTTTTCAGTATTCTACCAATAAGGAATTCAATTTGTCTTTAGTGCTTTAAAATTTAGCATTAGGATTGTTGTAAACCATGAATGCTTGGCAGTTTTAACAGTCATATCAACAAAATGATTGAACAAAATTCAAAACTGAAAAGATCTTAGTGTATTGGTCTTGTGGGGATTTCGTATGATTGGATGGAGAATCTCATCATGAGGACCACCAAACTAGGAGGAAACAGCTGTCAAGTGCTCCCAGGATTTCCAGTGGTTCTTTAACTGATATCAGATCATGATGAAATCCTCCATCCAGATCTTAGTGTGTAACAAGATAAACTTTAGTTAAAAGTTAACAACTCTTGATGTGATCTGCTTATTAATGTTCCATTTCTTTATAAACCTAAAGACAGTAAAGTCGCTTGGTCTAGGAAAGAAGAAAAACTCACTTTAAACATAAATTCTGAGGCTTTCGGACAATAAATCTCCTCTGTGAGGAAAAATCTGACCAACATTAACTCTTTCTAAGTATCCATCTCATATTAACAACACTGTCCGTTAGTCGTCAACTTCAGGTAAAATAGGTTTGTGAATCTACCTTCGCAGTGATTGAATCAACTAGTAATAAGTTTCATTGGTGTCAGGCGAAGTCTAGGATTGCGTTGGTAATAAAGTAAACCTATACCATTTAAGTGACTGGTGAGCATTCGACCACGGAAATACCGACACACTTTATACATAGAATTGTGGTGAGGACTGTCTGCTAGCCAAAATTTGTAGACAGTAATTTACGCCACTGTTTACATCCCATATCTTGTTTTATGAGAAAAGAACAAGAACAAAGAGTTTGCTTGGGCAGATACCAATCAGAAGACGCTATTTCTCTGCCAAAAATAACGAATAATAATGCACATAAAAATCTTTAAATATCTGTTGATTTTCTCAATAAACGATCTGTTTCCTGGCCCTTGTCTGCTGTTGTTACAGATTAAGTGTGCCTCACAGCCTGACTCAAGGTAACACCGTTCAGACAACAACTTCACTCTCCGATTATAATTTATAATTCCACGAGGTTTAAATTTTATCATTATCTCATATCAATGCAATTTAAAAATGGTTAATTGGATTTAATTCTGTAGGACATTTCTTCATGACTACTTCTAATATAGGTATGTGTATATATCTGCATATTTATTCTGATTTTTTTATTCAAGGGTTCCGCGTGTACAGCTCTTGTTGTCGCTGTTGTAGCACGTAAATTAGAATTGACAAGAGCTGAGAAACATGTACACAATTTTATGCAAGATAATAAATTTTATAAAAATGTAAGTAGAATGTGTACTTTTTTGTTGTTGTTTTTTGTACAGTTACTTTATTTTCATTTGTTTAAATGAATGCAACTGAAGGTTAATCATAGGTATGTACTCAGCAGAGTTAGAGAATCTTCGTCAATATTTGTGATATTACTTCATCAAGTTTAAGAAAAATCTGTTTACCATATAAAATGTCTTGAAATTCTTCTTGTAACTTTGTTACTGACGATTATTTCTTAAGGATTTTATACTAATCTACTTCCTGTATTCAGCAGAATGATTCCACTATATCTGTGTATTGTGGTGATAGCAGTTCTCTTTCTCAAAGGATTAAGATGATGGAGGTATGTAAGTGACGTACTTGTTGTATTTAAAACTCTAGATATAAACACGTTTTTCAAACATTATCAACTCAGAGGTAGAGATGTAAGCTAAGTCATACTTATGAGGTGGAAAGTATTACGAAGAAGAGCTGCCGTTGATAGAATGGTATCATAAAAAGGAAACAAAATGGCAAGTTAAACAAAAGTATTTTACAAAAATCTGACATATTCAAACCAATATTTAGATTTCGATTCATTCTAGAAAGTGTTAGTAAAAGCAAGATTAGTGAAATGTTTAAGTAATAGGGTAACAAAGGGCGAAACAACACCAAAAAAAGAAATCTAAGACAGAATTTAGAACACATAAGAGAAACGCTGACCTTTAAAAATTAACTCCTGATAAATTAATTAGGTTGTATATAGGGAATTATGAGAACAAAAATAATTGTAATAATAGGGATGATATGAATGACAAACGCATAGAAGGAGATGACAACAGGAACAACAGGGAATTTAAAACATCAGTAATACTGTTATACATGAAAATTCTTAACGAGTGGTACTTAGACCGAGAAACTTTAGTTAGAACTTCATGTGGAGCACATTTAACAAAATAATTTGCTTTACCCAATACGTTACCACGTCTCGGGTGATCTACAATGGAAAACTTAGCGAGACGCTCGAAGTGAATACAGAAGTAAACCAAGGCTGACTGCCTATCATCACCAACGATGATATTCTTAATTGTGGTGGAATGCATAATGCGTCAGACTGTGCTTTTGGAATGATGAGAGAGGAATACGTTGGACCACTAATAAGAAGACTTTTGAAGATCTGGGTTTCTCGAATGATTTATGCCGCATGTTACATAAAATCGAAGACTTACAACTGAAAACCAGCAAGTTGTCAGAAGAACAAGTCAGCAAAGACTTCGAGTGAACATGGAGAAGACGGAGGTGGTGAAGATAAGCAACCAACCAACCAACCAACCAACAGCAACAAAAACTAACACTGATTCCCATCAGCAGGAGAAATTTGGAACAGTTTACTTCCTTCACTTATAGTCTAGGAAGCACGACTTCAACCACAGGCAATCGGATTGGATGATGATTCAAAGCCAGCCAGAATCGGAAAGGCAAGATACGCCTTCATCAACCAGCAATCACTTTCAAAATCTTCTTCACCGACTCACCGTAAAGAACAAGATTCGGATTTTCAACGTAAATGTGAAGTCAGCCAGTTCTTCTATACGGGTCAGATACTTGCACTGCGTGTCTTGGAAAGGATTTCCAACAAGTTACAGACTTTTATCTACAGTTGCCCTCGTCGTTGACTCCATACTGACGATCAAATGGCTGGCCAGAGAGAATTAGCAACAACCTTATAGTGGAACGAACCAGCCAAGAGCCGACTGCTCAGCAAATATTTAAAATTAAATGGAGGTGGATTGGACATACGTTGAAGAGGCCATCGACTGATATTGCGTACAATGTTGGCTATCACTGGAGTGGAATGCCAATCGGAAGCGATGAGTGGGTCGTCAGTGCAAGAATGAAACGGAGACCGTGGAGATGAGAGATTATATGCAATCGTGGACCAAGCTAAAGAGGAGAGCAGAGAATAGAAAAAAGTGGAGATGTGTTGTTGAAGCCCTATGTTCCGCTTGGAACCCAATAGAATAATAATAATAATATCAGGTCAAATATATCAGTCAAAGTAATAGGTTACGGTTAACTGGATCAACCGGCTATATAACACTTTAAAATCTTTGCTAGCAGATAAAATATTCACAAAAAAAAGACCAACTACAGCATGCATTTTCACAAAACCATACATGGTGACAGTCTCAAAATCCAATATAACAAAGTGGAGACAGAGTGACCAATAACTAAAGCTTTGTTTATCAAATCAACTGAGAATAAGTACAAAACAAAAGATTTCATGCCTATCTCAAAAATCTAGAAAATTCTGGATGTACCTGAATTCCTTTCAATGAGTGGTGGTGTTCCCACCGAGGCTGGAAACCACTACCTATCGTCTCAAACGCCAATGTATTATCCACACGACTATCTGAGCCACAAGAGCCACCATTTGTTCAGTGGGACTTAATAATTAATAAGACCAATATACTACAAGTTAAATGACCAGACATCGTCGAAGCATCTCCACAAGGAGCCGATATGTCAAACTGAGACCGAACACTTTAGTCCAATTAATCGACGGGAAAATCTACGTTGAATTAAATCAAAAAGACAAGTAACATTAAAATACAACTGAAGCCAGTGTTTAGGCATCCATACAGATAAGAAAAGTAACTCATAACAATAACAAAGTAAGCTTAAAGTAAAATATCAATACAAATGTCACTTTTTAACTCGGTTAATTACTCAATGTAGAAAGCTGAACATAAAATAACAATGACCATTCGACTCAGTACACAGTGTTCGGGGTATTAGTGATCCTATTACGTCAATTAGTGAACAAACTTTAGGTCTTTAGCATGAAACTAAATGTAATATAAATTGTCTACTAGTGATCTATACATACCATTACATTCCCTTTGCATTTCAAGCTGAACATAAAGCCTAAAGCTTTTGAAGTTCCTGTAGTAATGGTGAATGAGGCTACTAGACCTACGCCTAACCGTCTCCCTTTCTTGAGCTTACTGTCAACCGGTAAACCAGCTGAGATTTAGGAGTGTCTCAGTTGAAAATGGATTCTGGACCACTTTCTTGGCCGATGAGCGCTCTACTACTGTACCACCGATGCACACTGATGTACACGCTATCTATAAAAATTCTCAAATTTGAATACTGAACATAACACTATACATATATTTCTTCCTTTTTTTCTTTCCTATTAAACTTTATATATTTATTTATATTTATATTTATTCTGTCTTCACTAGCTAAGACATTCAGCTGCAAATGTTCTACGTGAGACTTGGTTATTTTATAAGTATACCAGACTTGTGAAACGTGTTAAACCCGGCAGAGTAAGAAGACATCAAAGAAAATTTCTAACAGCTATAAGTCGGTGAGTTGGTTGGTTATGAAACACATTCACATCAAGAATATATAATGAATGAATATCAAACGACTAAAGATATTTGTAAATGATATAAGAATAAAACTTGTGCATCGTGGTAGAGTGTAATTCCATTATGGGTAAATTTTGTTTTGATAAAGTCTCACAGTGTTATACAGTGCCACACATAAACTCACTAGTGGAGGGAATAAAAATCACATTTGAATCGGAAAATGAACAAGGAGAATTAGCTATGCTAAATTGTAAAATAAAACGAATAGAAGAGGGTAAACTGCACACTAGTGTGTACAGAAAACCAACTCATTCTTATAGATACTAACACTTTAATTCATCTCATCCATTATCTGTTAAGGTAGGCTTAGCTAAGTGTTTAACGAACCGAGTAGTGGCAGTAAGTAGCACAAAAAAGGACCTAAACGATGAAATAAAACAGATAGAAGAGGCGTTGGTGTTAAATAACTATCATAAAAAATCATTAGGAAGATCGAAAAAGGCCAAACGAAAAATTAAAATAATTGTGAAACTACTAATAATAACATAAACAAGAGAGAATATAAGTCATCTACTGTTATACCATATAAAGAGGGGACATTTGAGACCCTACGTAAGATTCTAAATAAAGCAAGAAATAGGGTGGCATTCAAACCTACAAACTCACTCAGGGACAAGCTCTGTAGGTTAAAGGAGCCAGCTGAACCAATTAAACAAGATAATATAATTTACAGAATACCCTGCAAAGACTATGAGTTAGGTCAACTACATAGGTTAAACCGGTAGATCGGGGGTAGTCAGATTGTCGGAACATAAGAATTTAACTAAGGTAAGAATGGTTGACCCCGATTAGATGAGTAATTTAGAAAAAAGTTCAGCGATTGCACTGCATGCACTTACACACAACCACACAATAGGGTGGGAGAGAGCTAAAATTCCAAAAAGTAATCTAGGTAGCTGGAGAGAGAGGTTGATTACTGAAACCTTGTTCATCGAATCTACACCGAACACATGCAATAGGAATGATTCATCACTCATGCCCGAAATATGGAAAATACTGCTACCAATCAAATCAAGCAAAAATCAAGTGAAAAATAATGGAATTATATAAACGAAGTAAGAAAGTTGTGTGAGTACCTTGATATGATTGTGAGCGGTAGTAAATTGTGATTCAAATGTGGTCATCAGTAAGCATTACTGTATAGCATTATGAGACTTTATCAAAACAAAGTTTAACCATAATGGGATATTTGTAACTGTCTTGAGCCTTCTTAAGAAGGTATACACTTTACCACTGTGCAGCAGCTAGAATCAGTAAACTAGGCTTTGAATGTAGTGATCCCATTTCATCTTGTTAACAGGCAATGATTTACAAATATATCTGACAGGTTTTGTCTTAATGACGTACACTAATATGGATATCAATAAATTGAAAAAAGACTGTTCATCTACAATAAACTGCAAAGTGTGGCTCAGTAGTTCTTATTTTGATATTTTCTAAGCTCAGCTATTTATCTCTACTACACTCAGACTATTCTGCCTTTTCATTTTCTCAATGAGGAGCATAAACGATGAGTGTTAATTTGGCTATCATAACAATGAACGCATCTAGATTATGCCTTTTTTTGTAAGAACATAGATTAATTTCCATTGCTCGATTTAGTCAAGAACCAAAATTAGTTGAAGAATCACTGGAAACTAGTAAGCACTAAATAGTTGCTTGTCCTAATTTGCGACTTTTCAACAGCGCACACCGACGACTTCTTTTGGGATAGAACCTAGGACATTGGTTTGTAGTAGTGCTGTGTCACAAACTGACAAAGTTACCGTCCACAAGTCACTGGACTATGATGCAAGCGGATGGGCCGTCAAAGACCTGGTCTCGTAACCTGAAGATCCTGGTTCCGACCTATGGTGGGTAGGAACATGGATGTACAGGGTTCAAGAGTCTCAAACTGAAATGACACAGCTGTTCACTGCTGCATGATTTTCAGTGATTCTCCAACTGATATTAGTTTGTGACTAAATTTACACTGACGTAAAAGTATCCTCACACATCCCTTACTCACACAGACGTCAGGTAGATGAAAGAAAATCAAGACTTATTCAATATTTGGATTTCTTAAATCAGTGAATAGATCACTGACCCGAGGGATGATGACGCTGAAATTCTCCGTGCCATTTCAATCCACCTTTCTAATTAATACCAGTCTACAAAACTGAGGCTTCTGTTTGTTTGTGTCTAACTAAGATTCTGTTGACATTGTTTCTCTCCTTCATACCATTTCAATTAAGGACAAAATGATCAATCAAAGTATGTTGTATAGTTAGTTCATGGCCAGCAGAGAATATTTACCTGTTCGCTAGAAAACTATAAAATGTGTGCAAGGAGGGGAGTAATTATGGCGCATAGTATATAATCTTACACCAATACATTTCTGTCTAAGTCCCTACTGATTAATCCAAAGATTTGAATTTCTTTCTGATCAACGTATAGAAAAGGACTGATGTTGACAAATGTGATTGCCTGACATAAATAGCTGGATACTACCCATATTAATCTAGCAAGTCAATCTACCTAGAAAGCACCCGTGGTTAATATGGCTGGCATCTTACTATTTAAATCAGTTCATCAGAAGTATACACCATCATAAATGTATGCTTGCTTCGTTGATTGGAATTTATGGTGTAGTTACTTTTGAGTTCTTCCGGTACCCGACGCCGAATTAGTGAGTAGAACGCGTTCAATAAGTCAATCGATAGGAAATGTGTTAAAAGTAAGTGAGGAATGATTCATCATGAAATGACTCATCAGTTAGAGAACCACTGAAGGCCATGGCGTACTGGATAGCCGCCTCGTCCTAATTTTGGACTCCTCAGCAGTACAAACTCACTTCCCCCCATACACTGAACATAGATCCTCTTGTCAATTCAGGCACTACAAAGGAGCCCAATAACCTGTGAATTCTAATTTCTACCACTACGCGATAAATAAAGCAACTGCAAGCCAATGTCCGCACACCCAGCTACTGAATGCCTACTAAGTACTGTGCGTCGGTGGCACAGTGGTTAGGACTCTCGCCGACCATGCACATGGTCCGGGGTTCGAGCCCGCACCGACGCACACCTGATATCTATGGTCGGCCTGCAAAATTTGGGCTACCGATATCCATGCTGAAAATTCCGTACTTGTACCGAAAATACAGTGTGGAATCAAGCTGTAGATCAAAAATAAAAAAATTTTAAAAAAAATAAAAAAATAAATTAAATTAACTTAATTTTACAATATATTACATTTAACGTCAGATAACTGGAGTGGGAACTTAGTCGGATGAAATATACAAATCGCTTCAGATTTCTATGGATTACTTGCAAACATCTAGCGCCAAAACAGAATGTCAACTAACCTAGTTCGCTGGTTTCTGTTCTATGCAACTCCATCTGTTGTCTAGATTAGAATATCTAAAACTAATAATTCTTTAATTCCCCACCTATCCATCTAGGAATTAAAAACACACTAGAATGTGTCTGAATACTTCAAGCTTTGGCATTAAAAAACACTGAAGGTAACACTAAATAACCTCATCCACTAACTAATTTAGTTATTGGCTTAATATTTATAGTTAGAAGTTACCTGTTAACAGAAACACACTTTACACACTGTGAACACATTTGTTACTGGGTTTGCTAAGTGAGACTTAACACTTAAAGTGAGACAAGCGTTTGTTTGGAAGAGCTATACAGCCCATACTGCTCACGTTGACCATTATTGCTCGCTAGTCAAAATTGGCCAATGTAAAAGCCGAACGCTTCTTCAGGATAGAATTCCTCAACGTTCTACTTCATTTGGAAGGATCTAGATTGTTAACATGCAGTTAAATTAGATACGGATTTGAAAGTTTTATAGGCTTTCTTCTGCTAACAATATACAGTCAAATAATAACAGTAATATCTCATTAATGTTATAAACTAAACAGTGTCACAAATGTACGCATAAGTATGTAGTATAGTTAGGAGTCACTTGTGCTAAGCAGTCAATAAGGTCAACTCAGAAAATTTGAAATCTATCCTTCCATTGTATCATTTTTCTTCACTTCGTTCTCCAGTATACACTGTTCCCAACTACTTGTATCAGATAACAAAATACAACTTTCATAAAATGTTGATAAGCATGAATAATGGGCATAATTTATTATTAAAGATTTCACTATGAACTATTAGATGTTTGTTGCTTTCTTTTTTCTAAAATGTTCATTTATGTGCACATTTTAACAGGTTAAGAAAGGCGAAAGATAATCAAAGGAAATTGAAAGAAGACGCCAGTTCAATGGTAGATTTAGCTAAAGTAAGTTTAACTTTGTAACCTACATCTGACAACTTAATCTCTGAGAGGTTTTGTGTCTAATAAACATCAGTAGACTTTAAGTACTTACTTGTCTTCACGTAAGCTTCATCTGCTGTTATCTATCTAACTACCGTTATCGTAGTTGTAGACTATAGTAATGAAACTTGGTGAATATTCCATTATATTCTAACGTCAACAGTAACTCATGGAAGTTTGAATCATATACAATCAAATCCTCAGTTTCTGTAGTATCTATATAATTGTTTACTTTGGTTCCTAGAGGAACATAGGGCTTCAGCCGCACGTCTTCATTTCATTCGGTTCTTTGCCAACGTTTTCACCTTGCTCCATGTCTGCCTACATGCTTTCATCTCCTTTGCACATAATCTCCCCCATATCATCCTCGGATGACCAACTTTCCACTTCCCATTTAAGTTCCACCCGAGAGCCTGTCGCGTGATAGTCACGTGATAGCCTGTCACTTGATAGTTTTCTCAGATTGTGGCCAATCCACCTCAGTTTCTTCCTACATATTTGTTGCACTTTTCTCCCACCTCTTTGGTGATTGACTTTCCATTGTCATTCTTCACTGGCTTAATTTGCGTTGATTTCTTCCCCGACAGGAACCTAGTTGTTTTCTGGAGTGTTGCAAGGTCTCCTTTGCCTACAGCTTGTTTGTTATACTTCACTTACCATAGCTTCGTAATATTGTCTTTTATCTTCCCTGGTACTTTTCTTCACTCTTTTGTTCAGTATAGTGTAGCTTGCATTCAACTCTTGGTTTTGTTGTTCATCGATGCACTGAATAACATTTTGTTTCACCATCCTTCTTTTTTCTATTAGTCTCCATTTGTCTGTGAAAAGCCACTGTTTGTCCTTTCTCTTCTTTCTGTCTAGAACTTCTATGCAGGTTTAACCCCACACCGCTTTCAGATTGTTTCAGTGTTTTTCAACACTGGTCTCTTCGCTAGTGTTGATTTGTGTCTCCACATTTTTCTTTATGATTGCAGTGAAGATCTCCTTTGTGGTCTGATCCTTCAGTTTTTGAGTATTGAACATGGCTTGTGGTCTATCTGCAGCTCCTGTTTCCTTGAAAGTTTTTAATTTGATTTGGAGTGTTGCTTGCACAAAATAGTAGTCTGCTCCTCTCCTTACTTTTGCATCCAGTTAGCTGCGTCTCCACTTCCATGAGATTGAGATGAAGTCGATTTGGTTTTGCCTTGTATATGCTACTGCCAATCACTAGTTCATTGAAGGCGCAGAAGTCAGTGAAGAGTTCTCCGTTTTCAGTCGTCTCTCTAAGTGCCTCTCGATCCATAGTGAGTTCTCTTCCTGTGTTGTCTGGTCCCAGCTTGGTGTTAATGTCACCAATTAGGATTTTAATGCCACTGACTGGAGTATATATTGCCACGGTACACGTACGTTTGATATCTTGACCGCAGACAGTGAACTGTGTTCGATCTGAATATTTTTCATTTTCCAATTGAAATCACGGTGTATTTTAGCCTAAAATTAACTAATCTGAGGTCGGATGATCTGAAATGATTTTACCCTTTCAGTTGAGTCGAATTGTGAAGAGTGGTGATGAGTTCAACCTCACTACGGAACTATATATGAATATAATCACTTCTAGCCACTACGTGATAGATTTCCAGTGACATCCTTCACCTACCATGGTATAAGTCTTTCCATGAAAATATTTACACAATTTAAAATTATAATTCCACTCTATAACGTTGTTACTTTGTTCTTTTTTTCCCAAACAAAATTATCACTTTAGCTACAAACAAGTATTTATGACACTGTGAATTACATTCGAGCTGATCAAACCATTTTTGTACAACGTCTGTTAGCAGTTGAAAAGTGTATGGCATCAATACAGGTAAAATCTTGGAATAACTTCTTCTCTGTATGCGTTTGTTTTGTTTGTTTTTTATGTAAAAAAACTGATTCTTACAGCCATATTTGTCAGTTATGTTTTAAACATAACATACAAACCCATAGATTACCGGTTGCAGACGTGCCACAATATAATGTCCCGTGGGAAATGTGATCCTCACTTTCTTACGGTAAGTTAGGCCACCCCGACAAACACTATCTGAGATAATCAAATCGATAAATAGTATTCTTAAATTGATTAGGAGTTATTCGATTCTAAACCAGTGATTGGCTAGGAAATGTGGTTAAAAAGTAGTCTGAAGTTTTAAAGTTCCATAGATGTTCACTGATGAAGAGTTGAGCACTAAGACGAAACAGCTTTCTATTGCACGTTAGCTTTCAGTAGTTATGTTGAAAGAGTAATCAACTGTCAAAACTGAAAACGTTGTCCAGAAGGACAATGAAAGCTTATAAATCAAACTGTTCACCACAAAGAGCATAGCTACACCGAAAACAATCACCTGAGTTATAAATCTTCTACATTATTCTCAAAAGATTAAAGTGTCATATATAACTTGGTCACATTAAACAATACACTAAATATCTACCAGTGATTAGATGATCAAGTATATAGATCAAAACAGTAAATATGAATCAATCAATGTATAAAAGACGACATATTAACCAATTATGAAGTGCGTATTCTAACCCAGTGGGAGAAATAATCGTCCAGTTTTCGTAAATTAGTTTAGAGTTCATTATTGCCTATTCACATGTTGGTGGAGCGGCACAGCTTCTCTTTTTTTTGTACTTTTACATTTTCTTGGTTATAAAGGTTAATTTAGGGATGACAAATAATGTGCCACTAAATTTATACTAAAACATTAAAGTTTTGCGAGAATGTCTGTCTCACGCTGGACCTTCCATCTTTTTGGGCTCACTATGGACTAAGCGCTACTTAGGGTTGCATTGACTGGAATCGAACCCGGACCTCCCTCGTGGCTGATGACCAATCAACCAATGAATCCTCTCACGAGTACATACAGTCCAACAATTACACATTGGGGGGGGGGGGGGGGTGAGAAACAAAATCCTGTAACGTCGTTCACTTCCTATCCATTAGCTGACTACCAAAGTGTTCGAATTAGTTCAAACCAAGTTATCGGCTTTCGCTTCTAAGGTGTTCTCAACTAAGAAGGTGCAACTAGCCACTGTTTTCAACTACCAGTGTCTTTCAGCCGGTTGTCTTTTTGTAAACAAACTGATTTATGAATTTTTTCAAACTAAATAATATTCAAATAACTGACGGTTGTCACATCTTCCTGTTATCTATGTATACTATAATTGTAGGCTTATGTGAATCAGATGTCGGATACATTTACAGGCATCATTGATACACTTGGTACATGCAGTAGTACTACTGTACCATTAGAGGACGAAACTCTGGCTAAAATCAGTTTATCTCCACAGTCAACAAAGCCGACACAACAGTCAACAAGTTCTAATGAATCTTTGAAAGAAGAAAGTGGGATAAAAAATAGTATATTGTGATGTCATTTGTTACATTTACTTATGAAATACATCGTTATATTTAGCCTTTGATAATTTAGATACTCAACAATGTTCATTTACTATGTAAAGAAGTGAAATTCATCTTGAAACGGAGAACTTGTACATATATATTATAGTACACCTATACAGGTAAATAACATGGAAGTGTTTGAAGAGAGAATAATGAAATATAAACCTATGCATTATATTATTTGTTAAGTACCTTTTCTTGCACATACAACCATTTCACCTCTTCAGTCTCTTTTATTTTCTTCTCAATAACTAATACTCGTTCACTTTATTTTTCTAAGAAATAAAATGTATCCTTTCGTTCAAATGCCTTGCCTTGATTGAATTGAATTTGATCCATAGAAATCTATTTAAACAGAATAGCAGTAATTTCTTTGCTAGCATTTTTCTACCAATCCCTTCTCCTTCTCTATATTTTTTGAATCTTATAAAAAACAGTGTCACTTGTAGGTGTGAAAAGTTCCAACAATGAAATATTTCATATACACTACACTATTACCAAAACATCTGAATGCTTACAAATACGATTTCTTTTCACTAAGTAATTTCAGCCGTTAATATTATTATTATTACTATCCTTGACGTCGGTCAATATTTAGTTTGTTTAAAACATCTAATGATGCATTTACTTTCCATGACAAGCAATTTGTACCTCTTACCAGTTTTTCTAAACCCTTAATTTTATTGAAACTTTTATCAGAAAAAATCAAAATAGCCAGATATTGTGTAGAGTTATAAATTTTTGAAAAAAGAAACATTATTCATGCTTCCCATGTATATATTAAGTGAAAAAATTATGAGGATTAAAACTGCATTTTTTGAAGGATATTAAAGAAGGCCTTTATGTTTGTATACCTCTTTGTTGATGATAAACGGTTTGAATAACTACATCGTAGTAACCTGCATCGTATTTGATTACTGTACAGAGTAGGCTGTTAAACGTCTTTAGAGGCTGTGGGTGTCGACGATCATGGATAGTATTGCAACGACCGAAGACAAGGGCCAGCCGACAGATGGTTTATTGAGAAAATCAACAGATATTTGTATATTTCTATGTACATTACTATTCGTTATTATTAGCAGAGAAACAGCGTCTCCTGCTTGGTTGTTTTCTACTTAGAACTTAATCTGTCATCTCTTTGTGACCGTTTCTTTGAAGGTCAGACTATATATCTGCTAATCGTATCTGCCCACGCAATGTCCCTGTTCATGATTTTCTCATGCCCAATATTTGGGACGCAAGATTGACGTAAATTTCTGTCTACCGGTTTTGGCTAACAGACGGCTCTCACCAGAGTAAGACATAATAATGCAAGACCTTATACACACAACTCTTATCGCATTTGTTCCAAATAGACCAAAGACTAAACAAAATACCAGATTGATCGTCCAAAATATCAAGTATATTTTGGGCTCGAACTCGTATTGCTAGGATAACTGCCTAACTAGCTAGGGATCGTGCAGAAACAGCCCGACTTAACATGCAGTGTGCGGATGACGTGGATACTTGTTCGTGAACCTTCAGCTAAACAAGTAGACTTAAACAGTGAGGGTGAGCGTCCAATGTCGTGTGATGAATGCTGTGGCTAATAATTTTCGGGAAATGTCTACTGTCACACTTCATTCCAATGGTGACGACAGTAGCATAATTTATTTTGACATTTCTATCAGGGTGAGTATTTCTTGGAATTCCTAAACTTGCAGAATACAGAATTTTAAATAATACAAATCCCAAAGCATAGTGAAGACGTTTTCATCAGATGGTACTTATTTTAGGAATCTCAAGACTTTAATCGATATCTCTAAAGTAGGCACCAATTCGAAGAGAACAATGCGAGAAGTTATTTAAATTCTGAAATGCGTATCCATTTCTGTCTCATCTGGAATATATCCACTTACGGTTGCTTTCCTCGAATAAATCGGCCGACAGAACGAATGTAATCCACTCTGACGTCACCCTATTACCCGATTTAGATATCGGTACGATAGGTGTATCTGTGTTAATACACTGCTGTTCTTTCTGCTGCTTCACACGCAGTAATATTTTCGCCAAAGTAACACCCAAAGGAACTTCTAGGTTGGTTACTTGATAATTCAAAAGACCCATATACTGATATTTATAGGTAAGGACGTAAAACACTTTTTATAAGCCTTCCGCTATTCCACTACTTCCCATTTGTTGCATTCGTATGTCGACCACTTACTTCAGGATATGAGTAGCAAAGAAAAGTTCGAAGTGGCTTTTCTACTGAAAATCCCTGTTTTAACTTATGGTTTTATGCCCAGAACAACAGCACAGAACTTTAAGAAAATTCCAGGAATCAAACTGTGAGCTGAGTTGAGAAACACGATACCACTTAAACTATCTGTTCGAGAAATAAACTCCTCCGTCCCCACATCATGTGTCAGTGTAGTTGAAGATTGAACGATCAATTCATGGTTGTTTACTCAAACCCAACTCCTCCATATTTTCGCGGGTCATCAATTCGGCAGTCATCGTCTCATCGTTCGCTGTTCAAAGGGAGATAAAAAACTATCACAGATATTATCACGATTTATTGTTATAACATTTGTTCTTAGACCTTGCGTAATAACCTTATTGTTGGTTACATGTTAGCGTTAGAATAAAGGATTCTTGAGTCGCCAATCAGTGTTCTGGTTTTCACGTTGGTTAATGCAAAGTTTTTCTGAAAGTCTTCGAGGGACAGCGTGAGGTCCAGCGTAGTAAGAGCTGGACATTGACAGTTTATGAGAGTTGGCTGACACCATGTCTCGCCTCATTGAGACCTGCAGAGGAAGCGAATGAATGCATTATACTGTATGAAAGTAACGACGGTATGTCTTTCAAGGAGTTAGACCCATAATGTAGGCTTAAACCGTATGGGAAGAATGATATAAATAGGATGCCAACGAGCGACACGTTCAATATCTGTGAGCTAACAGCTTTCGAATGCAACTTCTGCAAAAACCGGGCACACTGCCTTGCGATAAAACCTTCCCACTAACGTTCTATTTATTTGTCACAACACTTGGGATTGTTTTGGTACCTCCATCCAACATGCGAAATGGATCTTGTGGTGCTAAATAGACTACCAGAGGAGAGACCATGCCACCAATATCCATGTCGGTGGCGGACAAATTTTGTCGAACGTAGACGTAGACAATATACCACGTCATGGGAAACCCCTGCCACTAAAAGTCACCTCAAACTCATACAGAGAGGTAGGGAAAGTTCTGCTGCTATCAAAAATGTTGGTGATTAACCGATCGGGCGATACCACGGAAAAGACTAATCCAAACAAGCGATTAGTGTTACACACGGTATCTCCAAACCAACAGTCACGATATAGGCGAAAATCATCCAAATGACGTGAGACGTGGTATTGGCTACACAGGCATCTGAATTTGAATGGCTCTCAGAAACTGACATCTGCTATCTAACTTATCCAGTACATCTTCACAGACTCACTACACTGTGACCGGCAGCAGTTAACTTCGGAGTGTTGTTGAGGACCCTGTAAACAGTAACATCCGATTCTGAGATAGCAAGACCATATTTCTGAGGCAAAACGAAACATATCATACTACAAACCGAGGCCTTTATGCTCGTCGAGAAACAGAAAGTCCATCCTCAAAACAACAGAATACTTCGATAAATGGGGCACGGCTGGTCGCTGTAGGACTTGTCAAACTGTAAAATATTGTCTCAAACAGGACATGATGGCATCTACAATCAGACATAAAAACAACTGTGTGGCAAGAGAGACCACCAAGTGACTTTGTAGCGGAGCTGGAATCCGTATGCACCTCACACCGTTGCTTATCACCTTGAGAAAGGCGTATTCACCATGACGCGTCATAATGAAATGATGATGGATAGGGTGAGAATTTAAAGAAAGCACCAAAGAGGGACGCTGAAAAGGTTTTAGCACAGATGCGGCAAGTCAAGCGAAGAATCCTTGTCATAAACACAGGGAGGCATCTATCATCCAATATCGTTCGTTAGAAGAGGAGGGCGTTACAAATCCTACGGGAGACATGGTTCCTGTCTGGTTACATATTCTTCACAACTCCTTAGCCATTAACTGTGTCTGGGCCGCTATAGAATCCAGCGTTACAAAGACTCTACGAACTTTCTGGATGAGAAGATACACTGTGTGTTTCAACAGGGGCAAAGCAAGGATATAACTGTCGGGGAAGGGAATTGTGAGCCAACCCCTAAAGTCTCTGCGAATTCATGGCTCAAAGGACAAGTGCTGTCAAAGTTGTGTGTGTCGCCATGGTCCATACTGGGAAAATCCTTGGCATTTAGGAAACCGCCAAGATATGGACAACGCATTGAAAGAAAACTGAGTGATCAAGACGAGCATGGCAGCTCGTCATAAATTACTTCGAGTGGGATTCTAAAGGGTCAAGCAAAGCGCTGTCCAGAGTTATCCATTATGTACGACAACGAAGAATCAAAAATTATTGAACGGCGTTGTGAAGCCCATCACATTTCGCCAGGTAAGCCGTTTGATCACCGTTTAGACACAAATCATGCAGTGAGGAACCGCGAATGAGATAACTC